TTTTATTTTTATTTTTTTTTTATTTTTATTTTTTTTTTTGATTAAAATTTGATTAAATATATGAGTTTATTTTTTTATTTTTTTTATAGTTTTATAATAGAAATATTAACAAATTATTTCTTTTATTTATTAGGTTAAATAAAAAAATTAAGGATAATATTGGTAGTAAAAGTAAAAAAAATAATTCATCGAATACAGTAACAGCAACAGCAGTATCTACCAATAACATCAATAAAACTAATAATAGCAATAATAGTGGTGGCAAGTCAAAAAGTAAATCAAATAGTAAAAAATCAAATAATACTACTAATAATTCAACTAGTTGCAATATTGAAAAAAGTAAATCACAACCACAAATTCAATTACAGGACAGTAGAATTTTTAACACTTTTATAAAAAATCAAGCAATTAATCACCAACAACAGCAACAGCAACAACCACAGCAACAGCAGCAGCAAAATCATTGTAATAATACTCCATTATCACCATCATTTTTTAAAAAAGATTCGCAGTTTGATTTAACGGCATCAGCATCATTATCAACTTATTCACCCAATTCATCAACTAGAAGAAAAACAGTAACAATAATTGATAGTAAAGATCTAATTGGTAATACATTTTCACCACCAATTCCCGAAACATTACCATCAACATTACCAACCAGTTTAATTAATCATAACTATATACAACAACAAAAACAAAGAAAAATGGCAAACGGTGACATTGAAGATCAAGATCTTTATAAAAAAGATAAAGAAATAGACATTGACGAAGATGAAGAAGAGGAAGAAGAAGAGGAAGAAGATTCATTATCATCTGATTCATCATCAGATTCCGATGATTCAGATTCAGACAGTTTCGATTTATCATGTGTTCAAATTCAAAACGATGATTCAGCTGAGGTTAAAAATCTAAAAATGAAATTATTGAAAGAAAAGAGCAGAGTTTTAGATACCAAAGAAGCTATGAATTCATTAGTTGAACAAATTACAACTTATAAGCAATCTGTTGAAGAAGAGAAAGTAATTTTAGAAGCTTCATTAAAACAAGAAAAGAAAACCAAATTAGAGTTATTCGAAATTTATAAAGAAACAGAGCTAGAAAAAGACAACCTTACAAAACAATTAGAAATCGTTATTTTAGAATGTGAACAATTAGAAAAAGAAAAGCAAACCATCTCTAAAGAAAATATTAATAATCTACAAACTTTGATGAATGAAATCACACATATTGAAGAGTCCAATTCTCTCTTAGAAAAAGATTTAGAAAAAGAAAGACAATTACACTCCCAAACCCAAATTCAACTTAAAGAGCAAATTTTATTAATCCAAAAATTAGAGTCTTATAACAATGAAATTTCAAATACCCTTTCATCAACTGCTTCTGGTGGTGGCGCTGCAGCAGATCAAGTTCAAATCCTTCAATTAAAGAAACAACTTTCTGATACTCAAGCACAATTAAATCAAGAAAAAGAAAAATTAGCTAATCTTGATAACTTATTGTTCCAAGGAAGAAAGATTATTGGTTTTGCTGAAAAGAATGGTGGCCATTTAGATCAAAACTCTGTTTTTGAAATTAATAATCTTAAAAACTATGTAAATGAAGAAAAAGAAAATCATCACAAGACTCTTATGCTTTTGGAGGAAGAAAGAAAGAAATCTGAACTCAACAAAAAGACTGCTGATAATTTGGTTGCTAGAATGAAAGAGTTAATTTCATCTCATCATGAAACTCTTTCACTTTTAGATGAGGAAAAAGAAGGATCTAAAGTCTTACAACAAGAGCTTCAGGCATTGAAAGAACTTTTATCAAAACCAGGAGGTTCAGCCAACACCAATCCATCTACACCATCAGTTTCAAATCAAACCCCAGCTTCTTCAACCTCTGAAGTATCTTCACCAGTAATTAATCAACCACAAGTAAATAAAGACCAACAAAATGCCCAACCACAATATGAGGAAGGTAAATTGAGACCTGATCCATCAATGGAGTCAATTTCATCACAAGGTAGTGATAGCTCAACTCATGCCACTTCTACAACAACCACCACTGCATCAGGAACAAAGGTTAACCATCAAAAAATGTATAAAACTCTTCGTATTAAAAAGAATGGAAATACAACTGGAGCAAATAAATTGGGTGGTGATTTAAGTTTATTCTATGGTGTTGATAATAAACCAACTTCACCAGAAAATTCAGCTGATATTGTACCAGAGGGATCGTCGACATCAACCAATTTAAATGCCATCACTGAAATGAATATCCAATCAACAAAGCAAGGAGCATCAACAGGAGGCGTAACTAAATTAGGAGCAAACTTTTTCATGTCACCATCAGAAAGTAAAGAAGATTTAAACAAATCACAAACTGCTTCAGGCACATATTCATCATCCACTATTGGCCCAAGTTTTGTTACCAATTCTCCAAGTAAAACATTAGAAAGAAAAAATACATTCTCTGGAGTACCAACCACATCATCTAAATCATCAAGTAAATTAGATAAAGAACAAAAAGAACGTGAAAAGAGAATTGAAAAAGAAAAAAGAGAAATCTCTAAAAAGAATGAAAAATATTTGAAAAAATTAGAAAAATTAGAACAAGAAAAAGAAAAGAAACGTTTAAAGGAGACCCAGGGTTCAGCTACTGTAGCCACTAATGTTGCTAATGGTACAAACAGTGGAAATAATAGCACCAACAATAGTATCGGTAAAGAATCAAGCCAGCAAATTTTAAAAGATAAAGACTCTCATTCATCAAATAGCAGTAATCCAAGTAGTTTAAGTAATAGTTTAGAAAATACATCCACTTTAAATAATAGTAGCAATAAGGATGATATACAACAACCAGCTTTAGCAGCATCACCACCATCACAACAACAAAATTTAGATAATAATTCTGTTTCATCCACTTCATCACTTTCATCATCAAACTCAACCTCATCAACCAGATCACCAAATCTCTCAAGTGTAAAGGAAAGCAATAAGGAAAAAAGAAAATCACTTTTTATATTTAAATAAATGATATTTAAATTATATATAAATAAAATAATAAAATTATGTATTAAATAAAAAAAAAAAAAAAAAATATATATTTATTAAAAAAAATATTTGCCAATTATCTTAATATTATGTTGAGAGATATAATTTCTTTTCTTAAAATAGAATAATAGTAATAATTATAATTTTTACAAATAAAAATTTAATTGAATATTTAAAAATTCTTACAATCTAAAAATGTGTGTTTTAAATTTTTTATTTTAACCCGTTATATAATTGAAATTCACCTTACAAGAATCGTAAGTGTGTTAAAATAATCAATATAAATTTTAATTATTTAAAAATAAATACAAGATTGTACAAAAATAATATATTAGAAAAACTTAATATCACAACAAAAATCAAAATAAATTTAGACAATGTAGTTAATTCTATTGTTATTTAAAATTATTTACAAAGCTAGCAATAATAAATGGGTTGGTATAACTTTAACACAAGATTATGCTATGACAAATACATATATTTGCTATATTTTATTTCTGAAAATATATACAGAAAAAACTTTAATTATTATTTTTCTTTTGTTACATATGTTATCAATAACAAACTCCATTGAATTTTCTTAAGATTCAAAATACGAGGTTGTATACACTCTTTTTTATATTTTTTTTGTAAAGATTTGGATTGTGTATATTATAATCCAACAAAATTATACAGTTATTGGACATATACTTATAATGATTAGGATCATTTTAATTTTTATTTATTAATTTTAATTTATAAATCAGTTTATTTATTTTAATTTTATTGATTCTTTATCATATCATTTATTTTATTATTAAAAAATGGCAATACTCGGTAAGTTTTATTTTATTAAAGTCTTTTTTTAATTTTTATAAATACTAATTTTTAAAAAAAAAGAAAATTTGACACAATTAACTTTAGAAACTAAAATTAAAAAGAATGTTTTAATTAGCGATAGTGTATATATAGAAAACAACAATATAAATGAAAACTCTTCAACTTTAGCAACTGTAAATTTTATTAAATTTTTAAAATTTATTTTCTTTCATTCTTTTTAAAAATAAAAAATTGGGGTTGGATTATCAATTTATTTATTAATGTTTAAATAAAATTTTATTTATATATTTAATTAGATTTTTTTATTTGTTTAATTTCCATATAAAGACATTAATTTGTTTTGGATTCTTTAGCAAAGCAGTTGTTCTTAACAACATAATGATTTATATTTCTTATAACCATATCTTCATTAATTTCCCATTCATTTTCTTCATAGGAGTCTGTTGATTTCAACAATTGTTTGGTTTTATTTGACATTTTGAAGCCTTTTTCAATAGAGAAACTAGAAACAAAATTATCTGAGTATTTATTGTGGTATGTATTATATGTAATACAAGACTTGTGATTAGACTTAGAGACTAACTCCCTCCATTTTTCATATTCTATTTCTTTACAATTATAATTTTTTTCCAATATGTTATAGAAAAACTTGGTTTCGATTGGGTTACCATTTAAATTGTAAATTGAATTTGTATTATTTAACCAACTCTTTTCATTAAAAATTAAATTTATTATATTTCTTGAAATTGTTGTTATTGGTGATGTAAATAAATCTTTATAAATATTTGGGTAATATCCAATAACACTTGAACATTGCAAAGATGTTTGATATATATCATTTGGATGACCTATACCAGTTTCAGGATTTGACCAAATATCTGGTAAACGAATAATTAATGATGGTATACCTCTTGATTTTTGTGCATTTGTTAATAAAAGTTCTGAAATAACTTTTGTTTGCATATATCCTATTGAGGTGTTGTCAAATTTGGGCATTATTTTATCTTCGTCAAACTCTTCACCATTTAATGATTGATTAAAGAACACTGAGAACGAAGAAAAGTGTACGATTGGCTTCTGAATTTCGCTTGACACTGAGAGCTTTAAAAATTCTTTTAAAGAATTTATATTTATAATTTTACTTTCATGATAGTTCGATTGTAAACTTAAATCTGCTGCTGAATTTATAATAATATCTACTTCTTTTGAAAGTATTGTATAGTTTTCATTTGAAAGTCCAAAGTTTTCATTGGAAATAACCCCGACGATTGTAACTATCTTTGAGATTTCTTGTTTTGTTAAACTATCATATAATTGATGATATTTTAAGTTATTTATTATCTCGTTTATTGGATTTGGTGAGTTTGATTTGTTTCTTATTAAACAGTAAACTTTTGAACAGCTTTCAATTTTAACTAAATGATTTAATAGGTAAGCACCAAGATAACCATTTGAACCTGTTAATAATATTGATTTATTTTTGTTATTTAATATGGTTTGAATTGAGCACTGTTTTGAAATTATTGAGTCTTCTATTTTAATTTCATTTTTAATAAACTCTTCAATGGATATTTTATTTTCTTTTTTATCTATCTTCTTTTTTGATGAGTGGCTAATGTATCCTTTTGTTATGATTTCCAAAGATTGAGATATTTTATTATTTTGTAGTTGTTGAATTGTAATTAAATTGTGGCCATATTGAGTATCTATCCAATTCTTTAATTGGACAATAACTAAACTATCAAGACCCAATTGTGTTAGTTGATAGTCGACATTAATTTTTGTTTGATCAACCGACAACAATTCTGATATTTTATTTATAATTGATGATTTGATAACTTCATCACTGTTCATACTTGCTTGAATTATTTTGGTTGTTTTTTTAACCATATTAACTTGATAATCAAACTTGAAGAAATTATAATTTGATATATTTGAAGGAATGTTTTCATAATTGAAATCGTTTAAACAATAGTTTGGATAGTTTTCTATATTTTGAACAAATAAATCTATTGAGCTGAATATTAGTTGGGGTGATATTAATTTAACTGTCGAACTTTGGAACATTGCTTCGATTGCATCATTTCTTGAAACAACACCTGTTGATGCTATTGCACCTAAATTAACTGATAATGATGGCAATCCAATTGATTTTCTATATTTTGATAACGAGTCTATTACACTACAAGCACTTACATAGCAACATTGTCTATTTGAACCTATAATTGATACAACTGATGATGCCATAATAAATTGTTTCATTTTCCATGAACGTTGAATTGATTCATTGTGTAAATTAACTGCACCCATTGTTTTTGCACCATGAGCAATATTTAAACGACTCATATCGACATCTTGAAGATCTCCGATTTCGTTTACAAATGCAAAGTGAATTACTGTATCAATATTTTTAATATTTGAATTTAATTCTAAGTTATTTAATACTTTTTGAATTTCGTTACTATTTTCTATATCGATTTGATTAAAGTGGAAATTAATTGAGTTTTCTTTTTGATGTTTGGTTTGATTGATTAATAACTCTAATTCCCATTTTAATGGTGATTTTGATAGAATGATAATATTATCGATTGATTTATTTGAATATTTAACCAACCATTTTAATATTTCTAATATAATACCTGTTTGACCTGTTACTAAAATGTTTTTACCCATATTTAATCTTGATATATCATAATTATTCTTCATAATAATTGAGTTGTCTTGTTCATTAAATACTCTTGATATGATATCGGTGTCATGATTTACAACAATTTTACCAATATGTTGTCTTTGGTTAATATATTCAAGTGCATCTTTAAATTGGCTGTTTGAATATTCAATAATTGGAATTAGTTCTAATTTATTTGAATTAAACATTTTGACCACTTTTTTTAATAAACTTCTAAATAATGGTCCTGAAAATACGATAAGCTCTACATTATTATATCCATAGTTGTATTTAAAGTGATTGTTTGTAATATAGTCATTTGGTGTTAAATGTGTAATTGAAAGATCTACAATTCTACCACAAGTATTTAAACATTGGAAATTTGAATCCATATATTCTGATGAAAGAGTGTTTAGTATTAAATCTACACCTTGATGATCTTCATCGCATTCTAATTCTATTAATTTGTTTTTAATTTGGTGAACATAGTTTTTATTTCTTGATGAATAGATACCTGTAATAAATGAGCCATATGTATCCATTAGGTATTCTTCTTTATCTTTTGAACCAACTGTTAAAAATATATAACCTTTGTGTTGTTTACATTTTAATAGTTCTAATGATGAAAGACCTACACCACCTGCTGCTGAGTGAATTAAAATAGTTTGATCCGGTTGTAAATTACCTGTATAGAATATACTGTGTAATGTTGTAACATAAACTGAAGGAATGGATGCAGCTTGAACATGGTTCATATTATTTGGTTTGTAATAAACATATCTATAATCTATAACAATGTGTGATCCACTTGTTTTTGATGCTGTACCAAATACTTCATCACCTATCTTGAATTTAGTTACATCGCTTCCACAACGAGTTATAATACCACTAAAGTCATTTCCAATATTTGGAATTTGATTTAATCCATTTTCAACCTCCTCTTCTTTGCCATATTTGAGATCAAGATTATTTGATATTTGACCAATATACATTAAATAGTCTTTATAGTTGATACCAGTACCTTTAACTTCGACTTCGATTTCATTTGGTTTTATTTCTTGTTTTTTAGTTTTTAATACATATTCTAAATTTGGATCGAGCTGAACCATTAAGTTATCTTTATTTGTTTCGAAAGAATTTGATTTAAATGATTGTTTGATTTTTGTTTGTTTTTTATATCTTTCATAATATACTATATTATTTTTAATTGTAAATTCTCTTTGTATATTCAATTTTGAGTCTATTAATATATTGATTAGTGATAGTAAATTTTCATTTTGAATTGAAATGGTATCGAAATCTAATATAAATAAATCTAACTGTGGGAACTCTACAAAATATCTTGCGGCACCATTGATTGATGATGACAAATAGTTATTTGATGTTGAATCAAGTGATATTAAAACATGTTTAAAGTAATCTGATAATTCATATTGTAGTATGGTTTGATTAATTTGAATATACTCGAGTGTTATTTCTTTAAAATTGTTTATATCTAGTGTATCAGTTGCTTTTATGAACATAATTAATGTTTTACATTTTTTAACTGAGTCATTTGATTCTTGAAGCCAGTTATTAAACTCTTTAAAGTTGTTCATTTGATGTACTTTTGTTTTTAATTGTTTGTTTGATTTAAATAGTTCATTAGTGTTGAACTTATTACTGTTTCCAAATAGGATGATATTATTATATGTAGATAGCTGTTCCATTGAATCTAAACTTGATAATACTGTTTCATTTATTGTTGGCTTTCTTGTTTGTATTAAAAATATAGAGCTATCATTACCAGACATTGTTGTATCTTTATAGCCACATTCATTTAATATCTTAACCCAGCTATCTTGTTTTATACAACTTCTATCTTTTCTGATTGTGGTATCTTCAGATGATGACCACCATTGTGGGAATACTCCGAATATAGAGTCATATTGGGCTGATTTGTATGGTGGCTCAATAAAAATTAATTGACCATTTGGTGTTAAAATGTTATGAATTTCATTTAAGGTAGATTTAAGTTGTCTAACTTGATACATAACATTTGACATTATAACCATATCATAATAGGATGGTCTTAAATCTTGATCTTTGAATGATTTGTCTAAATCTAGAACACGATAAATTATATTGATTCCTTTGATAATTGATAGTTTTTCTTGGATTTCACTTAAAAATGAATCTGAAACATCACTATAGGTAAATTCGATATCAATGTTTGATGAAGGACTATCATTTAATAGTTTGTCAATTTTTTCTAATACTAGAGTTGATAATGAACCTACACCGCCCCCAAGTTCTAATATTCTAAATACCATTGGCTCCTTTGTAATCGGTTTAATTGACTCTGAAATAATTTCACACATAATATTATTTGGTAAATGGAAACTGTTTAAATTTTGATAAATTTGTTTTAACAACAAGTGATCAGCAAGTAATGGTTGAGTTTGATCATTTTCTATTGTGAATATTTGTTTTGCCATTATTTGAGTGGTTGTTTCAAACAATTCTTCATTTTTGTGGATTTGTTGGCATAGTTGATTTTTATCATCTATTTCATTATATTTTTTTAAATTTTCATAAATGAATATAAAAAAGTTTTCATTTATTGATTCTTTATAATATAGTTGTTTAAATTGATTGTAGTCTAATGTTGATAGTATGTCTTTGTTGATATTTGGACATCTTTGATTAATATGTGTATAAAATAGCCATAATATGTGTTCATTTGATATTATATTATTGTTTTGATCTTGTGCATTTATTTCTTCAACTTGATATAGATGTTTGAAAGACTCTGGATTGTTAATAATTGAATCTTTTGATTGTTGGTATGGTGTATATATTTCATTTGATGGAGGTGGGATAATCAATGTATTATCGATTATTGGAGTTAATGATGTACATATAATATTTGCAATTTCAATTAATAATGTTCCATCATTTAACATTATTTTAATGGAGCCGGAGTATGAATATGAGTCAATTCTTGTTTTCATTTCAGAGTATACATAAACTTCTGAATGTTGATCTGATGGTATATTTGATGAATAGTATTTCAAACCTTCGATTCTATCTAATACAATTTGACATTGATGTTTTACAAAACCTAACATACCATGTAAACAAGTATCTAATATGGCAGCATTAAAGAATGACTTCATTGTATTGTTGTTAACTAAATGATTATATTCTTTTTGATTTTGAATTTCGTTTAAAGACACAGTTGAAAGAGAGCGGTTGTTTCCAATATAGCACTCATTTACCCCTTGGAATAATCCTTTATATCCTAACCCAGTTTTGATTTTAATTGATTCATAGAGTTCTGATTTTGATAATTTGGTAAAACTACATTTCTTTTTTAATTTGTCAATATCGACTTTATTAATTTCATTTCCATGTTTGAATAAACTAAAATTAGCAGTTGAGCATAATACCCATTGATTTGTAGTTGTATCTTTGAAATGAGACTTTACGTTATATTCATTTTTTGAAAGTGTATTAATTGTTGTTTGTAGAGATTGATTAATACCATCTTGTAAAACTAATGGAGTTCTAAATTCTATTGAACCAATTGTAATATCTTGATTTTGGAAGGAGTTGAATATGTTTGTAATATGACCACATCCTGGGAAATAGTATTTGCCTTTTACTTGATGTCCTTTTAGCCACTGGAATGGTAACTTTTTAATATCGATAAATGTTTGATATGATTTGGATGGTGATTCATTTGAATTGCCAAGATGTTGAATTGCAGGTCCTTCATTTTTAATTTTTTCAATTGATGAATGAATTTTAAAATACATTTTATCATCCCATTGATACAAAGGTAAATTGTTTACATTGGTAGATTGGTTTAATTGTGATTTGAAATTTATGTCATATGAGTTGTTTACATAAAGTGTTGAAATTGTTTTTAAGAATTCATCATAATCGTTTTTCTTTTTGTGTAGTGGTGAATAAATGGTTACTTTTTCACCATTATTAAAATAAGATGATTGTTTTGATTTCATTTGATTTAAATAGAAGGATAGTGTTGGGTGGGGAGCGACTTCAATAAATGTGATTTCGTTACCATAGTTGTTTTCTTCAATATATTTATATATGTTTGAAACAGTTTGTGTGAATCTAACTGGTTGAAGAACATTTTCAAAAACATACTCTGCATTGAATGGTGTTGTTTCATGATTAAATAAGTTGGTAGTGACTGTTGAAAATACTGGGGTTGTTGATTGTTTTGATTTAATGTTTAATGAACAAACCTCATCTTTAATCATTAATTGACTTGATGTATGGAATGATGATAATGAACCGAGCATTGCACAAAATATTTCTTTAGATTTTAAATCAGCTGATATTTCATTTAATAGATGTTCTTTACCAGCGATTACAATTGAAGATGGTGAATTGAAACAAGCAAATTCGATCGATGGAAATTTCGATGAGTAATTTTTAATATATTCTTCGGCACTAATATTAATAGATAGCATTCTACCAGTACCAGTTGTTCTATTCTGAGCTACTGATCTATGGTATACTAAATAGCATAATGTTTCAAAGTCGATCATACCTGAGCAATATGGAGATGATACTTCCCCCAAAGAATGACCTACGATTAAATCTGCTTTGATACCCCAGTGTTTATATAGTTCAAATAATGATACTTGAATCATTACATTTGATGGCTGTGCAAGAATTGGTTCATGTATTGATATCATATCTTTGTCATCAATTGATCTAAGTTTTTCTAATACAGAGTACCCATAGTATTTGAAAAGTTCAGCATCAAATTTATCTACCCATTGTTTGTAAATTGGTTCATTTTCGTATAGTTCCAATCCCATTTTATTATATTGGGATCCTTGACCACAAAGTACAAAAACTGTAAATGGATTCTTATTTTTAACTGTAATGTTTGAAAGTGTATTTGACTTTGAAGATGATTTTATTTCATTTTGTTTATCATTTAATTCATCCCAATTACTTGCAATAATAACTGATCTTTGGGCAAGCGATGTTGATTTATATTTGATTTGGCTGTTTACAAACTCATTAAAATCTAATGTTCCTTGTTGCTTGTTTACCATTTGTTTGTAGTTATCTGATGATATTGATGAGTTTGATGAGAATGGAATTAAATATTTTTTGTTTTCAATATATTCATTTTGAACTATATCTTGATTGTACTCCGATAAAATAATACAACAATTTGAACCTTTAATTAATTAGAATTAATTAGTATATATTAGTATATATTATAAACAATTATATTAACATACCAGTAATACCAAAGTTATTGATCGCCATAACAGTATTCTTTTTTACAAATGGAGTGAGTTCATTTACTACTTTTAGACGCCATTCATCGAATTTGATATCCGGATTTGGTGATTTAAAGTTTATGTTTTGAACAAATGATTTGTTTTTATACATTACACAACATTTGATTAATGCCATTACACCAGATGATGCTTCACTGTGACCAATATTAGACTTGATAGATCCTATTAAAATCTTTTTATTTGATTCACTGAATACTTTTGAAATACCCTCTAGTTCTATTGGATCACCGGTTGGTGTACCAGTACCATGACATTCAAAGTAATCAATATCTGAAGCATTAACTAATCCGTTAGTAGACTTAATTGCAGATTTAATATTTTCATATTGAGATGACTTTGATGGTTGATAAAAATTTGCTTTATCATAACTACCATCAACATTTGAACTTGATCCGTTTATAACACAATAAATATTATTACCATCTTTAATTGCTTGTTTTAAACTCTTCAATACAACAACACCAACACCTTCAGATCTTACATAACCATCAGCATCAGATGAAAATGAGTGGCACTTTCCAGTTGGACTAAGTATACCCAATTGTGAAAATGATTTTGAAATATTGGGGTCTTTAAAAAAAATGGATTAGATATTTTTAATTTTTAAAAAAAAAAAAAATAATAAAAATAAAAAAAATAAAAATAAAAAAAATTAATAAAAAATAAAAAACTTACCTAATATTAAATTAACACCACCTACAATAGAGACATTTGAGGTACCATCTTTAATTGACTTATAACCAAGATTAATTGCATTTAATGACGAACTGCATGCAGTATCGATTGTAAGTGATTCACCACGAAAATCAAAGTGGAAAGAGATTCTGTTTGCCATTGAGTGGGTTGTTGACCCAAATATATTACTTTGGATTTCAAATGGTGATTTGTTTAGGTTATTATAATCAATTGTTGAGGAACCTATAAAAGTACTTGTATTTGAACCTCTTAATGTTAATGGATCTATAGCAGCATCTTCAAGTGCTTCCCATGTACACTTTAATATCAATCTTTGTTGTGGATCTATTGAGCTGACATTATCATCACTTGGATTAATACCAAAGAAAACTGGATCAAAAGATTTCCATTCATCGAGCGGAATGAGACCAGCATATTTAGAAATGATATCACCGGCTATGCTGTAGTTATCAGACCACCTTTCCGATGTTTCTGCAATACCATCGAAACCATTAACCAAACTGTCCCAGAGTTGATTAGTTTTTGAAATTGATTTTGACAAACTACCACTTGGAACTCTAAAACCTATACCAATAACTGCTATCTCTGCATCACTACTATTATTTTTGATACTCCCCATTTTTTAATAAAATAACTATAATTTTAATGTAACTAAAAATAAAAATAAAAAAATAATTTTTGAAAAAGAAAATACTTTCCAACCCTATTTATATTTTATAAATAAAATAATTAAAAAAAGGTAAATTCAAAATAAAGTTTTAGAATCCTAAAAACGAATACAAATCTGTTTTTTAAATTTTTTTTATAGATTTACCCATAAAAAAATACTTTTAAATTTAAAAGATTACAATAGCCCCACACAAAACACACGGAGATTATTTTATTATATAAAACACAAAAATTTTAAAAAAATAAAAAGTAATAAAAATAATTAATTTTTTTTAAATACATTTGTTATTTATACTTAAAAATACAAACTAAAAAAATTATTTAGTTATTAATAAAAACAAATTTTATGTTACTTTAAATATTGCCAGATCTTATAATGCTATTACTATTGCACACTCTTCACTTTTACATGTTTACATAAAAGAAATAAATAATAATAATAATAATATTAATAAAATTATAATTAAAAAAGGTTTGTTACCTTTCAAATCATTTTATACATTTTGCCATTTGTGTATCTAAAAAAAATAATTATGATTTGCAAAATATCATTTAAAAAATAACAATAAAAACGACCAAATTTAAATTTAAATAAAACAAATTAAATTTAATAAACTTAATCTTTTAAATTAAAAAAAAAAAAGATTTATTTATTTTTTTATAATGATGCAGGTTTTTGTGGAGTTTAAGGTGTCATTGAAATTTTTTGAGGGTTGTATTTGGTTTGTTTTAATATTAATATTTAGTATAGTTTTAAAAAAAAATTTTAATTTTAAATATTATTATTTTTTTTATATGTTTAATTTCTTATCCGAGATTATAAAGACATATTAATTTGTTTTGTATTCTTTCATGCCTTTGTTTTAAAAGCATAATGATTTATATTTCTTATAACCATATCTTCATTAATTTCCCATTCATTTTCTTCATAGGAACCTATTGCTATTAACAATTCTTTTGTTTTTTTTGACATTTTAAAACCTTTTTCAACGGAATAACTAGAAATAAAATTATTTGAGTATTGATTATGGTATGTATTATATGTAATACAAGACCTGTGATTAGACTTAGAAACTAACTCCCTCCATTTTTCATATTCTATTTCTTTACAATTATAATTTTTTTCCAATATCTTATTTAAAAACTTGATTTCGATTGGGTTACCATTTAAATTGTAAATTGAATTTGTATTATTTAACCAACTCTTTTCATTAAAAATTAAATTTATTATATTTCTTGAAATTGTTGTTATTGGTGATGCAAATAGATCATTATAAATATTTGGGTAGTATCCAATAACACTTGAACATTGCATAGTTAATTGATATATATCATTTGGATGACCTATGCCAGTTTCAGGATTTGACCAAATATCTGGTAAACGAATAATTAATGATGGTATACCTCTTGATTTTTGTGCATTTGTTAATAAAAGTTCTGAAATAACTTTTGTTTGCATATATCCTATTGAGGTGTTGTCAAATTTGGGCATTATTTTATCTTCGTCAAACTCTTCACCATTTAATGATTGATTAAAGAACACTGAGAACGAAGAAAAGTGTACGATTGGCTTCTGAATTTCGCTTGACACTGAGAGCTTTAAAAATTCTTTTATAGAATTTATATTTACAATTTTACTTTCTTTGTAGTTCGATTGTAAATTTAAATCTGCTGCTGAATTTATAATAATATCTACTTCTTTTGAAAGTATTGTATAGTTTTCATTTGAAAGTCCAAAGTTTTCATTGGAAATATCACCGATGATGGTAATTATCTTTGAGATTTCTTGTTTTGTTAAACTATCATATAATTGATGATATTTTAAGTTATTTATTATCTCGTTTATTGGATTTGGCGAGTTTGATTTATTTCTTATTAAACAGTAAACTTTTGAACAGCTTTCAATTTTAACTAAATGATTTAATAGGTAAGCACCAAGATAACCATTTGAACCTGTTAATAATATTGATTTATTTTTGTTATTTAATATGGTTTGAATTGAGCACTGTTTTGAAATTATTGAGTCTTCTAGTTTAATTTCATTTTTAATAAACTCTTCAATGGATATTTTATTTTCTTTTTTATCTATCTTCTTTTTTGATGAGTGATTAATGTATCCTTTTATTATGATTTCCAAAGATTGAGATATTTTATTATTTTGAAGTTGTTGAATTGTAATTAAATTGTGGCCATATTGAGTATCTATCCAATTCTTTAATTGGACAATAACTAAACTATCAAGACCCAATTGTGTTAGTTGATAGTCGACATTAATTTTTGTTTGATCAACCGACAACAATTCTGATATTTTATTTATAATTGATGATTTGATAACTTCATCACTGTTCATACTTGCTTGAATTATTTTGGTTGTTTTTTTAACCATATTAACTTGATAATCAAACTTGAAGAAATTATAATTTGATATATTTGAAGGAATGTTTTCATAATTGAAATCATTTAAACAATAGTTTGGATAGTTTTCTATATTTTGAACAAATAAATCTATTGAGCTGAATATTAGTTGGGGTGATATTAATTTAACTGTCGAACTTTGGAACATTGCTTCGATTGCATCATTTCTTGAAACAACACCTGTTGATGCTATTGCACCTAAATTAACTGATAATGATGGCAATCCAATTGATTTTCTGTATTTTGATAACGAGTCTATAACACTACAAGCACTTACATAACAACATTGTCTATCTGAGCCAATAATTGATACAACTGATGATGCCATAATAAATTGCTTCATTTTCCATGAACGTTGAATTGATTCATTGTGTAAATTAACTGCACCCATTGTTTTTGCACCATGAGAAATATTTAGACGACTCATATCGACATCTTGAAGATCTCCGATTTCGTTTACAAATGCAAAGTGAATTACTGTATCAATATTTGTAATATTTGAATTTGATTCTAAGTTATTTAATACTTTTTGAATTTCGTTACTATTTTCTATATCGATTTGATTAAAGTGGAAATTAATTGAGTTTTCTTTTTGATGTTTGGTTTGATTGATTAATAACTCTAATTCCCATTTTAATGGTGATTTTGATATAATGATAATATTATCGATTGATTTATTTGAATATTTAACCAACCATTTTAATATTTCTAATATAATACCTGTTTGACCTGTTACTAAAATGTTTTTACCCATATTTAATCTTGATATATCATAATTATTCTTCATAATAATTGAGTTGTCTTGTTCATTATATACCCTTGATATCATATCAGTGTCATGATTTACAACAATTTTACCAATATGTTGTCTTTGATTTATATATTCAAGCGCATCTTTAAATTGACTGTTTGAATATTCAATAATTGGAATCAGTTCTAATTTATTTGAATTAAACATTTTGACCACTTTTTTTAATAAACTTCTAAATAATGGTCCTGAAAATACGATAAGCTCTACATTATTATATCCATAGTTGTATTTAAAGTGATTGTTTGTAATATAGTCATTTGGTGTTAAATGTGTAATTGAAAGATCTACAATTCTACCACAAGTATTTAAACATTGGAAATTTGAGTCCATATATTCTGATGAAAGAGTGTTTAGTATTAAATCTACACCTTGATGATCTTCATCGCATTCTAATTCTATTAATTTGTTTTTAATTTGGTGAACATAGTTTTTATTTCTTGATGAATAGATACCTGTAATAAATGAACCATATGTATCCATTAGGTATTCTTCTTTATCTTTTGAACCAACTGTTAAAAATATATAACCTTTGTGTTGTTTACATTTTAATAGTTCTAATGATGAAAGACCTACACCACCTGCTGCTGAGTGAATTAAAATAGTTTGATCCGGTTGTAAATTACCTGTATAGAATATACTGTGTAATGTTGTAACATAAACTGAAGGAATAGTTGCTGCTTGAATATGATCCATATTATTTGGTTTGTAATAAACATATCTATAATCTATAACAATGTGTGATCCACTTGTTTTTGATGCTGTACCAATTACTTCATCACCTACTTTGAATTTATTTACATCGCTTCCACAACGAGTTATAATACCACTAAAGTCATTTCCAATATTTGGAGTTTGATTTAATCCATTTTCAACCTCCTCTTCTTTGCCATATTTGAGATCAAGATTATTTGATATTTGACCAATATACATTAAATAGTCTTTATAGTTGATACCAGTACCTTTAACTTCGACTTCGATTTCATTTGGTTTTATTTCTTGTTTTTTAGTTTTTAATACATATTCTAAATTTGGATCGAGCTGAACCATTAAGTTGTCTTTATTTGTTTCGAAAGAGTTTGATTTAAATGATTGTTTGATTTTTGTTTGTTTTTTATATCTTTCATAATATACTATATTGTTTTTAATTGTAAATTCTCTTTGTATATTTAATGTTGGGTTTATTAATATATTGATTAGTGATAATAAATTTTCATTTTGAATTGAAATCGTATCGAAATCTAATATAAATAAATCTAATTGTGGAAATTCTACAAAATATCTTGCAGCACCATTGATTGATGATGACAAATAGTTATTTGATGTTGAATTTAGTGAAATTAAAACATTTTTAAAGTAATCTGATAATTCATGTTGGAGTATGGTTTGATTAATTTGAATATACTCGAGTGTTATTTCTTTAAAATTGTTTATATCTAGTGTATCAGTTGCTTTCATGAACATAATTAATGTTTTGCATTTTTTAATTGAGTCATTTGATTCTCGGAGCCAGTTATTAAACTCTTTAAAGCTGTTCATTTGATGTAATTTGGTGTTTAATTGTTTATTTGAGTTAAATAGCTCATTAATATTGCAATTATTACTGTTTCCAAATAGGATGATATTATTATATGTAGATAGCTGTTCCATTGAATCTAAACTTGATAATACTGTTTCATTTATTGTTGGCTTTCTTGTTTGTATTAAAAATATAGAGCTATCATTAC